ATTCTCACGTGAACCACGAAATCTAGGAAGCTGAAATTTTAGGGTAGTGGCCCCCTGCCCACGTACTACCTTGTATATTCAAATTCAGCGTTTTCGCGCTCTCAGGTATCAAATGTAACCCCATGAAAATTTTGGCGGATAAATTATTATCGCGGAATCCACGAAATCTAGGAAGCCGAGGTTTTACGGCAATGACTCCCTGCGTACGTGCGATCTTGCAATTTCAAATTCAGCGTTCTGGCGCGGCCAGTTTTTCATACCGCTCTCTGAAAGTTTCGGCGAGAAAAATTATTATCTCTGGAGCCACGAAAGTTGGGAATCTGAAATGTTAAGGCGATGTTCTCTATCACAGTGCAACCCCCGCAATTCAGCCTTCATACACCCCTGGGTACGACGTGCGGCCCTGTGAAAGTTTTGGTGGAAAAATTATTATCTCGTTAACTGCAAAAGCTAGAAAACTGAAATTTTAGCGTGTCAACCTCTGCCCCACTTACAACCCCGCAAATTTTCGACATTCTTGTGAAGTTTTGGCGAGGAAAATCATTATCTTGGGCGACAAAAGACTTAAGGGACTAAAAATTTCAAGAGAATGTTTTCTGCCTAAGTAGGGGCTTAACAAATTTGAATTTAGCTCTTAAGTATGCCGAGATCTCAAGCACGACTACGTGAGAGTTTTGTCTCAAAGATCGTTCAAAATCCAGAAAATTAAGAGACTGAAATTTTACTCATCCTTCAAGGTTTCAAATTCCATTTTCTCGTGCCCATTTGTGAAATTTTTAACTATTTTTCAACATTTCAGTTATTTTTCCACAAATCAAAGTGCAAAGCAGTGAAAATCATTAACAGGCAATCGTTTTGTAAACGGAATTGCACAAAACGCATGGTCACACCGGCTATTCTGGCGCACATTGTTACTTATTTTTCTTTTCTGCTTTTCATAGTCGGTATATAGATCTTTTTGGCGGTTTTTTTGCGGCTTTTCGGCGAGGATTCGCTCTACAACGGGCTGAAACAAGTAGAATTATTTGATTCGTTACGCATGCTTGGTACAAAATTTAGGCATCGGATGGTAATTGCCACTGTCCACATGAATCTGGTTTATGCCAGGCGACCATATTTTATCATGGCTGGAGTTTCATAAATTAAAGTTACTTGCCAGACTTTCAGTGGCACAAAAGTCATCATGGGCTTGTTTTGTAGCAATTTTCCGGGCTAAACAACGTCAATATATAAACACTGGAAGTCAGTTTTAGTTTCCAACAAATGTGCTCAGAAGACCTTATTTATTGCCAGCGTACCGAACTGTTAAAGTCAGCACTTCGAACACTCGAATACCGCAACGGATTTGGGCCTAAAGTTGACGGAGTTGTCACGTGTAGCCCACTAAGAATCTCAGTGGTATCAGGAACTTACCAAAATAAGCGTTTTTTGCGTTTGCATAAAGACACAAAGCATTAAAAAATGAAAAGTGCTGCAGGTCGAGATAGATGAATTGACGGAAATGATAGCTGATGCGGACGAGCAAGCGGTTGCGATGAAAGGCGAGTATACCAAAATTAAAGCGGAACTAACTGAAGAGACTAATAAACTACGTTTGTTGGAGAATGATTTTAAGAAGGAAGAGGTTTCCATGGAAGAAACAGCCAGCGATGCCATACAGCATACAGAAAAGCCAGCTGAGTTCGTTCTTCCTTTTTGGTGCTTTCAGTATTTGCTGCAGTTTGTCTCAGACTTTTTTCGGATTTCTGGGCAATAGGTAGAGGACTTCGTCTGAAGATTGTATGATAGCGATTTTGCCGATATTAGCTAAATGCTATAGCCTTAAAATTCCTATTTCAATTTCTTCTTTTCTAGTGAAGCGGAAAATATTCGAGATCAGGATTCTGCCAATGAAATTGATAAATGTAAGGAAGTGCTGGGTCAGATCGAGAAAACGAAACGTGAAACTGAAGCGATAATTCAGTCAGCAAACTCTGACATTGATTCGCTCATTGAATTTGCTGAAGCTATTGCCACCAAGGTCTGTTGCATTGAACAGGTGTTATTCCGTAATTTAGTTCTCCACGGATGCGGCTGGTAGCTTTTTCAGTTGCTTGAGTTGCCTGAGATCACATGCTAGAAATTCTGACATTCACTTTGTTCTGCTAAAGCGACTACCAGGTGAAAAGATCAAGGATTACAATTCTTTCGGCAGAAACGTCTGGCAGAACTCTAACTGTTTCCTGTTGTTGTCGGCGTATGTTAAGATTTTGTAAATTTAGTTGTAAATTTTGCGATAATTCAGAACCCGACAGATTTCTGCTGGACCAAGGCGCTTAGCACGATCGCAGTGGAAACACAACATAGGATGCATTTTTACTATAAGATTTCTCTTGGTGGCCCTACACCTAGATGTTAGTTGCCTTTTGCAGCCAGTTATTCACTACTTCGTTGCCGTAGACACCAAGCCGAATTCACTG